GACTGCCTGTAGATATGCATAAAGAAGCATGCTGTGGCTCACCACCCTAGAAACAGCCTAGAAAAGGCCAAGGGGAGGAGGGTGAACTCAACATGTGGAGTAAAGAAGTACAAGCATGTGACAAACAAAGCCATATATGGAAAGGTTGAATCTGATTGGTTTTATGTTATGTAACCTGTAACTCCTATGTGCTATAAAACAGCAAGGGGAGGGGCTCCTTGCTCGAGGGGCTCTGGCTGATTTTAGTACCAGGGGCTCTCCTATGGAAAGGTTGAATCTGATTGGTTTAGAATATGTTATGTAACCTGTAACTCCTATGTGCTATAAAACAGCAAGGGGAGGGGCTCCTTGCTCGAGGGGCTCTGGCTGATTTTAGTACCAGGGGCTCTCCCTTTGTGCACACTGAATAAAGTCTTGTTGAATTGAATTGAAGACCCTTGATTCTGTCCAGCACCTGACTCTCTGGGAACCGCAAAATCCCAACACCATGAAAGATGAAAAAGGTTAATTAAAAACAATGGGTCAGAGCTTTTAAATCAACTGAGAGCTACCAGAAAGGAAATTCTGATCTAAATTACATCTACGTTTTTTCCATTGTTTGTTTGCTCAGGTGTCAGTAATGCTGATTACGGCCCAGAGGCATTTGGTCTTCTAATTGATCTAATAACTATTTGCTCACTACAAATTTGACTTATTGAATTTACACAGTGTCTTAGTGTATTTTTACTGAATTCAATACAACTCATCATGGGTTTAAATTCACAGCAGCACAAAGACAATGACCATGTAAGTATTTGCAGAGGGGTGAATTTCACCCGGCAGTTTTATTACATGATATAAGCAAGCCTCAAATTTTATCTTAATCTTTTTTTCTTTCTGATTGCACGGTATTTCAATTTTTCATCTTCAAAACAAGGCTTGTATCTATGAGCTCAAAGAAAACTAAGGATGCTCACTCACGTTAATTATATAGAATTTTATTTACTTCCTGAGGTAAAAAAAGCATCAAGAAACATTCCGGTACAAAGCCATCTACATCCCCATAAATGTACAGATTTCAGTATTGAAAAAAAGTTCTATTCCTCTGTGAAAGTTAAGTTGAAGGTGGTGCATATCCATTGTGCAATTCTTTGGCAGTTATGACCACAAGATATTTCTGAAGAAGTTACAATAAATTTTGTTGAGCATTATTAAAACTATAGTGCAATTTCAATTTTAAAACAAAATGGAGCAATCATGGATTGCAGCTTTACAACGTGGTCATTTTACAAAGCTGTAAACTCTTAATGCAATTCATGTTGGTAAATTTTCATGAACCAATTTTCAGTAACACTCATAGAAATTTAAAGGAACACTGTCAAGCTACAAAAACACAACAACAAAACAAAAACAATTAAATCCTACTTTATGCAGTGTAATCTCTCATGGGAGAGAATCGTTAGCAACAGCCTCTGACTCAAAGCAAAAAGCACCTGATTGCACATTACTGTTATTGCTAACTAAAGATGCATAAATCCTTGATTATAGTAGCCACCACTTTAAATCTAAGCATATGGGCAAGTATTGTGTTGAATTGTGGCTTATGACACTTGAATGATGGCTGTGCCGGTTACATTTTTCTGGACTATTTGTTTTCTGTTTGCTGGATTTCCCATGAGGGACTACCTTGCCTCTATTTATTAGTGTGTGAATGGAAAACCAATTAGGCTAACAGGTTGTCCTTATCCTCTTTGTCCTGTATTTTGGAATAATATGTAGCAACTCTATAGCCTCGTGGCGTGAATGGCTGGAGCTGTTCAGTTTAAATGGCACCATACACATTAATAAAGAATATTTCATTGTACTTGAACCGTATAAATCTGTTTTTTCAGTCAATCATTTGTAAAACCCTTGCATTGGCTTAAAATGACATATTTAGAACGAGGACTTGAGCCCCGTCTTTGCAACATGACAGATCACAGGGGATGCAATTCACCCTACTGGAGCAGTTGGGAACTACCCAAGTAACTGCTGTGGAGCTGCAGTCCCTTTTAGCCACATCTCCATTTGACATAGGGGGTATGGCCACAGCATAGGGCGTTCTCAGGTGCTTCCCTGTTGGCATAACAGCTCACGAGGAATTGTAAGAAGCCCAAGTAATTTAAAAGAGCCCAAAGTCTCTCTAAACTATATTACGGACCAAACCAGCCCCTGGTACTGTGGTATACTGGTTTAGCTGACACTCTGGGATATTGGCTTTTTTTCAATTAGAAAACACATACCAAACTTCTGGCATTTCTGATGTAGCACAACTGCTACATTTATTACCTCAAATGTGTATCAGCTTTATTGATAACATAACTGACACTATAAGCACAGCTCTGATACTTAAGTTCTGATAATAAACTTGTGCTTTTGATGCTGGATGGCTGGTTTTCAGTGTGTTTTACTAAGCCCCAGCTGCTGGAGTCATGGTGTTCTAGGAGAATCTGTGCTCCTTTTTTAATAAGTAAGTTCTTATCCCACATGCTTGCACAGAAAAGTGAGAAAATGTTGAACAAAAGCACCGTAAAGACTCAAAAGCAAAAAAGAGAAATGAAAGCCCATTTTAAAAAAAGTCCAAGATTTCTAAGCCAATGTCATGATTTTTTTCCAGGGCAATTAATGTTTTTGAATATCTAAGGTTATCAATATTGGGTTTTGCAAAAGCAGAGCTAATCTAGGCCCTGTATGAACAGTGCATTTAAAAGAAACATATTGGGAACAGAGTGACAGATTTTAAAACGAGACAGAAAAAAAGTAAATCTAGAGGTCACCCCCCACCAGATGATTTATAATATATTGGCCTAACACTTGACAGTGTTCCTTTAACTTATATTTGGCATTTTAAGAAAAATATCTTAGTGAAATTAGTATTCAGCTAAACAGTAGCAAAATGCTTTTAAAAATCACACCTAAAAGTTTAAGGAAGATTGCAGTAGACTTCTGTTAAATGTCCATTATATTGCGTAGTGTATAGTACATAGTATTCCATTTTTAAACATTAAATAAACTCCCATTGCCTAAATAAAAACAAAACATAACCTCAACACTAAAATAATATGCTGGTAAATAATGAAACTGCCAGTGCATAACTTGTTTATTGCCTATGTGCTATTCACCTGAATCTCATTTCCACCTTGATTAGAATCTTTTCTATTTAGTCATATTTTCAGCAGCATAGATCTCAGTTCTGACAGTCTGACCTGTCTGTTCCTACAAAGAAAAGGAGCCTACATCTTTCTTTGACACATCTTCCAATGGCACGTTGCGTGTAGTACTGACAGAATAAGAAAGATGAACTAGATTGTCAACTAAAGGGAGTGTCTTGTGATGAGTCAGGATTCTGGAAAGTTAACAGATGGCCCAGTGCAAGCCTGCTGCAATCAGAGGACTTCCATTTATTTCAGTGGCTTTGGATTGAGGGCACAGTGAGGACTTATGGTCTAAAAATATCCAAATAAGCCAATTAAAAAGTGCATCACCCATAAACGACATCCACCCCCTTTCATTTAACAGCAGCAATGATGACTCAGCAATAGGGATGACTTGCCTTCAGCTATTGGGCCATGGGTTCCTCTCCTTTCAGGTAATCATTAAGCCCCAGGAAATGGCCTAGGCTTTTATCATTATTGGTTAAGAGACCAGCACTTCAGTACCCATAATCATCATGAACAACCTATGCCCTCCTGGCACCAGTGCTATCAGTTCAATGGAATCCAGTAGGGCTGGGGAACAGGATCAGAAAAATACATACACCCATTCGAACCTTAATTCTTCTCCCAAACTGAACTGAGTCTTTGACAAAGAGTCTCCTCGCCCTCATCCATATTCTTTTGTACCCAAATTTGTCAACCTAGATTTGGAAATTCACATTTGCTATTCGCTCCCCCAGATTTCTTTTCCCTTCTCTAATGCCTCACGGGGGCCCCTCCCTCAGCTGCTATTCCTTACAGTCCTAGGCCTCCTTGCGTGAGTGATATCCAATCCATTCTGAGATGCTTCTGACCCAAGAGGAGATCTGGTTGGAAAATGTCTATTTCCCCTCAAAAACATTTAACTTTCTGTTGATAAACTGAAAGGTTTTCAACTAAAACCCCCAAATCTGATCACTAAGGAGATCAGGGTCAGATATTATTTCCCAACTTCTGCTTCTTCCCCTCAAAAATCATCTTTTTTGTTCATAAACTGATGCCTTTTCAAATGAAAACCAAAAAAACTTGTTCAAAAAATCCCAAGCCCTGAAACGTTTTATCAAAAGCAGACACTTTCCATGGAGATTTCTGTTTAATCAAAATCCCATTTTTCTACAACAAAACCAGTTTTATTAAACACTTTTAACCAGCCCTGCCCAAAAGTGCATGAGATTTTAGTTGAGGAGCCGCCCTGGGCCCAACAGAGACTGAAAGCCATTGGTTTGTCCAAAGAAATAAACATGGGGGAGAGGTGATGGAGAAAATGATGCATGAGGGCTGGGTGGACAATGGAGAATGGTAATGGGGGAGAGGATATCACCAGGTTTGGCCAGGATATGGGGAAGAAATCACCTGTCCTTGGAGAGAAGCAGCAGAGGAGCAGGTAAGCTGAGGCAGAGAATGCAGGAAAAAAGGAAAGTAGAAAGAAAGGGTATGTCTACACTACCACCCTAGTTCAAACTAGGGTGGTTAATGTAGTCATACGAACTTGCAAATGAAGCCCGGGATTTGAATTTCCCGGGCTTCATTTGCATGTTGCCGGGCGCCGCCATTTTTAAATGTCCGCTAGTGCGGACTCCGTGCCCGCGGCTACATGCGGCACGAACTAGATAGTTCAGAATAGGAAGTCTAATCCGAACTATCTAGTTCGTGCCGCGTGTAGCCGCGGGCACGGAGTCCACACTAGCGGACATTTAAAAATGGCGGCGCCCGGCAACATGCAAATGAAGCCCGGGAAATTCAAATCCCGGGCTTCATTTGCAAGTTCGTATGACTACATTAACCACCCTTGTTCGAACTAGGATGGTAGTGTAGACATACCCAAAGTGATCTAAATTGGTACCAGGAAAAAGAAAGGTAGGAAGACAAGGGTAAGGATTTTCCTAGGTATGGATGAGTCTAGTTTTGAGTGGACTTAACTAGACTGGCTCAACCCTGATGAGGCTCACCAACTGCTACCTTCCACTCAGTCTACAGAAAGAAATCATTTGCATCATTTACATCCTTAAAGAGTTTTTATTTTTGTGTGATTGCAATGGTTAAAAAGGGACCAGTGCCGAAAATAGAAACATGCCCATGTTCCTTTTGTTAGTGTCACATACTAGAACTGCTGATTTATGCTGCAAATTGCACACCCGATTCTGCCACTGGTAGTTATTTTGAGAGATACCTGACTCTGCAAGAACTCCCACTGCTTTCAGTGGATCTCCTTACAGAGAAGAGAGAAAGAAATAGTTTTGAATTTTACAACTGCTGCAGCACTTTTCATAATTGACATTAAATGTCAGAGCCTTTTAAAAAACCAATTAGACATTTTAAACCAAAATTTCATATCTAAAAACTATATTTGTTGCTTATAAGTCTGAAAAAAGATAAAAATAATCCTTTAATGATACATAGCTATAATGTCTGGAATATTGCATAGTTTCATTTTTAAAATATTTTATACTTATAAGCTGATCAAAATGTTTTCTTCTTCAACTGAAAATTGCATTTTTTTATTTTTAGCAAAAATTTCCAGGAAAAATGTAACAACATAATATTTATATTCCAATATTTCAGCCAACTAATTTTTTTGGGGGGGAGGGTTGGATAAAAACATCTAAAATTTTAATTTTGTCAAAAGCCCCCAAAAAGGAACATTTTTTGACCTGCTATACAGAAAAACATGGCTTTTGAGCAATCTCTACACTGTACTGTACAATTAGTATTCCTGTGAAGAGATTTTTTTTTCTTTTGTGTAAAGATACTGTAAGTGCTTTGTTTTGTAACTATTGCATAGTTTTAGCTGGTTTCAAACAACAATATTTTTAGTGCTTACATACATATAAATAATAGTGTTTCTTAAAAATATAATTTAAAAATAACACCATATATTCAAGGCTATGGAAAATCACTTCCATCATAGATCACAGGTTGTTCAACAGTCAAGTGATAAAATACTCTTTTCGAGATAAACCTGTACAAAACAAACAGAAGATCATGTTAGTCTAACTCAGGTAAAAGTAAGATCATAATAGCCGCAATCCTTACTCAGGCAATGTATCCATTGGACTTTGGGAAGTGTTGCCTGAGTTTGGATGCAGTAGGGGCATTGATTACAAAAAACAATTCTGATTCTGAATTTGCTGAAAATAATCACATGGTAAGTTTCTGTTGTTTACCATCTCAGAAATCAAGAACATCAAAGGATGGAACAATGTTACAGAATCAAGGGAAACAAACAAACTCTAAAACTTTTTGAGCTTTTTTCTTAATGGGCAGTCTAATAAGTCTACAAATGAGGAAAAACTCTTTATTTCAATGTCTATACTCAAACTTTACCTACCGAGAGAAGGTGTTGTCAAATATCAGTATGTAGATACCACAGTTTCTTACTTTCACCTGCCCTCGGATGGTTTCCTTATGAGAATTGCAGCGTGTCATAGGAATAAGTACCTAGAATTGAAATATCAGAACTGAACTTGGTTTAAAAGCTCTACCTCTTCTTTACCTTTGGCAGAGATATTTGGACTTCTACCTTCTTGAGAGCAACAAGAGTGTCTCCTTGTGTGTTTTCCCCCTCTTCCTTTGCACTGTTTAGTCTTGTGAGTGGATGTTAGATCATATTGACACTATCTCCCTGTGACAACCTTCTTCTGACATCTATATTTGGAGTACAGACTGAACTTCTCTAGTTGGGCACAGTCTGGTCTGGCAACATCTGTGGTCTGGCAAGATTTTAGCTAGCCAAATGTCCACTTATCATAGGTATGGCCAACTTTCCTGCAGTTCCATAAAGTTTATTTACAGCCACCAGTCCTGGCTCTCAGTCTTCTGTGCTGCTATTTTGCTCTAATTTACCCCTAAACGACTTCTAAGAGCTCAGTAAGCAGTGGAAGTGTTGGTAATGCTGCTAAACACTATTGACCTCCCATGGTCTGGCAAATTCTCTGGTTTGTCATTGGTCAGGTTTCGAGGGTTCCAGACTAGAGGGGTTCAAATTTTATATCTACCATACACACCAATGATGGTGGCAGCATGTAAGCGATTCATAGCTGCAGTGTAGTAGTACCTCAGTTTAGGGAAATTCTGCAATTTTACTATGGCTCCAAATTCCCCCAGGACTAGTACATTCAGCAGTGAAAGGCTCTGGCAGTGGGGAGGCAGAAGGACTTTAGCAGTTGTACACTGGCATGGGTGTGTAGAGAGCTAGGTAGTATATATACCCTAATATTCTGTCATGTCTGTATTCTTCTCACCTATGTAATTCCTCAAAATTTATACTACTGTTTAAACCTATGCTAGGGGCCATGCAGTATACGTACCCCACACACTGCTGTAAGGAGATATAGAAATACCTTGGGATATAAGCTTCCACTGAAGAATGAAATGAACAAATCTCAATGTCACTTATTCTAGTGAAAATCCAGAGCAACTTCACCAAGAAATTGTAACTTAATTTCTGTGTAACGTAGCAGAATTTTATATAATGCTTTCTATGTAATGTAACTGAGTTTTCCTAGTGACTCTGAATTTAATTGCACATTTATCTTTATGGTTATATTTTTTTATGGTTGAACACATGCTTAATCTTAAATCCACGAGTCGCCCCATTGATTACCTGATCTTTCAACCGATGGCCTGTGTTTAAGAGCTGTCTTGGACTGAGGCCTATGTTATTTACAAGTACATTTAATAAAAAATATACATATTAAGCAACTCCCGCCCTCACCCCCGAAACATAAGACATTTGGCAGGTTGGAGCTGAAGGAACTTGATTGTTTAGCTCAGCGACACTGATCTAACTATAAGTATAAACACCAGAAACTAAACTGCCACTCAGAGCAATGTCACTCAGTTTCCATAGGTGATGCTAAGTAATTAAAAGTGTACTTCTTCCCACTGAAACAGTGCAATGGACTGTGCACAAGGAACATTCTCCTGATGAGACATTTTGACACTTTCATATTTGTTACTATAGTGATGCAACTTCCAGTGACTTGCATTCCTGGCCGGGGGCGGAGGAGAGGGGGGCCAGGGAAACTAGTCCTCAGCTGGGACCAGGCTGCCCTCCCCCCACTACTATCTGGAATACACCACCGTAGGCTCTGCAGCATGCTGCACGGGGCTCCAGCAACAATTTAAAGGGACTTGGAGCTTTGGCCACCACCACTGCTGCAGTAGTGGCAGCTGGAAGCCCCGTGCCCCTTTGAATCACCAGACCCTGGGGCCTTTGCCCCTGCTGCCCTTCCCCCCCTCCTCAGGTCAGCAGGCCTGGTTGGGGCCATGATGAGTGAACTTGCTGGTTCCTCCAGACGGACTCATTCGCCTCATGTTGCAAAATGCAAATCTTCAGGCAGCTCAATGAGGGGGAAAAAAAAGCCCATCCTGAAGTAACTGCCTTACTTTGCACTGATCCAGTGATGCTTCTTCTGATTCTTGGTATACAACACTGAATGCTACGCTCTTTGGATCGGATGAAAACACCCAGCTGATTGTGAGGCCAGACTCCGTCACAGTGATAGGGATGGTGCTGTAGGTGCTGGACTTAATGAACAGCTCCCTGTTGCCTTCCCCAAAATTTAAAATCTCTTCAACGGTAAGGGGTAGTTTTATCCTGAAAGACAAACATAACCATTGGAGAGGGGCAAATTAGACTTTGGAGACATCTGGACACTGGACATTGATATTTTATTTAGCACAACCTACTTCATGCAGATGCCCTGGTGCCTTTGGCCATGTCTAGAAGATGCAGCTATGCAAGAGTAGATGAAAGCAAGGATCAGATGATCACAGCCTAGTGCTTCTCACTGTGGCTGGCGCTCAGGGGTTCACACAGTCATTTATTCCAGTGTAGTTAAAAAGAAGCAATATTGAATGTGGTACTGACACTTGACTTCACTGTCACTTACCACTGTAGTTTCTCTTAATTGGCAAGCGTACGATGTAATATTTGTGATAAAAGATGTCATGGAAAAGACTGCTGCCCTCTGCTGTCTCCTTTATAGATAAATTGACATCACTTACAATACTAACATCATGCTTATGGAGAAATGGATATTTAAGGCAATGTATATAGAGTGAACGTGAGGAGCCATTCTACTAAATGTTATATTGTGCTCTATTCTGGGACATTGGGGGTAACTAACCCAAAAGCTCATATTGTCAGTGAACAAGCAAACTACGTAAGTTCCAACTCTGGGCATCTAAGATTACACTGAATTCTTTGCAGGACTTTGGGAGATTCAGCCTTTAACACTTTGCCAGACTGCCTCACTATTAGTGATATATTTCACAAGGTATAATTAGATCCTTACTTAGTTCACAGTCTTCAATGGGGAAGTTTAACCATTTAATACCAACTGAAGAGGATCAAATCCACAGCATCTACATTGGATTGGGTCTGATCTCATTATTTAGAATCAGGAAAAATCATCTAAGCAAAGAGCTAACTGTGATCTCTGTATGCTGTAATAAATTCATTGTCTGCCATCAAAAATCAACATGTGCCAGCAGATATCACACAATTCCCATAGTTATTTCCTGTTTTTGCATAGGATGACTGAGGTATTTCAGCTATCCATTTAGGCTATGTCTAGACTGCAGGCTTCTTGCACAAGAAGCTTTTTGTGGAAGAGATCTTCCACAAAAACTTCTTGCGCAAGAGCATGTCCACACAGCCAAAGTGCATCGGAAAAGTGGTGCGCTTTTGCTCAAGAGAGCGTCCAGACTACCTGGATACTCTCTCACAAGAAAGCTCTGATTGCCATTAACAGAATGGCCACCACGGCACCTGTGCTTCTTTTGATAGGTTGTTTTTGCGCAAAACCCCCGTTTCCCATCCATACACACCTTTTTTGCGCAAGAGCTCTTGTGCAAAAAAGGTGTGTATGGATGGGAAACGGGGGTTTTGCGCAAAAACAACCTATCAAAAGAAGCACAGGTGCCCTGGTGGACATTCTGTTAATGGCAATCAGAGCTTTCTTGTGAGAGAGTATCCAGGCAGTCTGGACGCTCGTGTCTGTTTTTGCACAAAAACTCTGCAGTGTAGGTGTAGTGTCAATAAGAGATGGTGAATGGTGAGTTTTAATGATAACTAAATGATGAGTGAGTTTTAATGATAACTAAAGTTTTAATGACAACTAATGATAACTAGACCTAGGAGAAATGTTTAGCTTTATTCACAATGTTGGTTCTTACCTTAGATGAAACAACAGCTAAACTCTCGCAGGTGAACCTCCATTTTAAGTAGATAATGACACTTCTTTCCCTCAGCCCTAAATCTGTTGTTTGGATGTGTTTTGTTATTGCTGCCTTTGCATGGCCTCTCACAAAACCAACAACATTCCAGTACAGAACAAATCATCTTATTGTAGTCATAGTATAAACCTCTCTCGCAGCTAAGCCAAAAAGTGGAATTTATGGGTGGGAACAAGAATGATGGGTTTTGTGTCTATCAAGAACTGTATGTGGGCATACAAGGGCAGGCTTGGTTGGGGCTTTTTTGAAGATTTACTCCAATTGTGGCAAATACTCACCCTTGTGGACAGAAGCCATGGACAACAGTAGCTATGCTGTAATCATTTTGGGTAGAGGCGGTTAATGGGAAATAAGCCCGGCCCCCGAAGACCAACCACAGATGATTAATTGAGCATTGCCCCCTGCCTCTAATGCAATGTCTTCTTCCAGGTATTGAAGCACTAAAGACTACTGTCCAATTTCTGTCCACAGCTCAGAGTGCCCCAGAACTGTAGCAAGAGTGGGAGGGAAGATTTCTAAAAGCCTCACCAAGTCCCTGGACAAAGCAGGGTGGCCTGCTCTGTGCCCCTGGAAAGGGCGTGGCATTGGACAAAAAGGGTGGGGCCATGGGTAGCCAGCCCTCAGTGCTGTCTGTACTGTAGCACTCCCCAGCCCTCAGCGTTCCCTGGAGCATGCAGCTATTGAAAGGGCCCAGGTCTCTGGCCACTGCCACAACAGCAGCAGTAGTGGCAGCTGGTAGCTCTGGACCCTTCTGTATTGCTGGGCCCCGTGGCAATTGTCCCTTTTTCTCTCCCCTGTCAGCAGGCTTATCTGGCCCCAAATGGACTGGCAACCAGCAGGGCAAGCTGGTTGACCCCCCACGCTCACTATGTAACCTAGGCATATCCCCATGATGCTGTTCTTAGGGTCAAGACCTGCCCTCAGATGCCTGCAGGCTGCTTCCACTCAGGTCAATGAGAGTTGACCATGATGATATCCAAGATGATGTTTTACCATTTATTCTTTTAACCAGGCAGTATTTAAGCTATTCTGCTTACATCAGTTCTCCTGACTTCAGCAAACATATCTCAGCATCTTGGGCCACTTGCAATTCTTCAGAGTCATCACAGGTCGAAGAATTACATGTGCTGTTTCTATGACAATAAGAAAAAATATTATTATATGTTCTCCAAAATAGCCCAGCACAGAGACAAGCAATCACAGTTATAACCCTTGTACACTTGCCTCCTGCTGTAGAGTCATTTCAGCTACTGTGGGCCAAACTAGATTATATTTACTGTTTTAACACAGTACCACCTAGAGGCCTGGATCAAGACTGCAGCCCCTTTGTGCTAACCCTCATATATGCATACAGAAAGGGACAATTCCTGTCCCAAAGAGTAAATTGAGAAGATAGCAAACATTCCTTTCGCCTACCCATTGCCTCACTGAATTTGTAGGGATGGAAACTGAGGAACAGACAGATTTAACTGACTGGCCAGATTCAGGAATCAATTCAAACCAACATCCCCAACCTATTCCTTATATCCTACACTTGCTTCCCCTCAGTAACGGTGAGGGATAAAAAGGTGAGCTATGTTGTATAGGTCAGATTCTTCTCTCACTTCTGCTGTACTGATACCAGCTCCCCTTATCTGGATATCCCTCCACCACAGCTCTCCCTACTAAGTGCGAGGTCATAAAAACATTCTAATGCCACTTCCTTAGTCATGTTTGTACTAATTCTGGGCTTTGAAGGTGTGGGGTTAAATCCTGCTGAGGCCAGTAGTCAGCATGTTGCCATGAAGAAAGCCCCTGAGATACAAAGTTGGCCGAAGTATGAGAACACTGTGGTGATGACAAACTCCCCAAATTAGGGTCCCAGCAAAGCCTCAAAAGTGGTTGCCACTGTCCAGAAAGTAGGTGAGACCAGGGCAGTCGGAGACCACACAGATTCAGTGCATCCCTTCAGTAGTCTTTAGGCACAGGTTTCTTGTAGAGACGATAGCAGATTTCGAAGCCACCTTCTAACCCTGAGCCCCTGATGGAGGGCAGCAGCAGCAGCAGCAGCAGCAGCACACCTATGGGGCTAGTTTGGCACAGGGAAGTAAATTCATACTTGATCTAGCCCACCAATGGCTCCTTATTCTGATGTCATACAAATTGCTGCTCCACCTGGGAATACTTTAACAAGAAATATCTTCATGATAAAAATTAAATCTTCTGCTCCTCCTGGAAATAGTGGGTCAACCAGAAACACAGTGAACATCAAATTAGACTCAACCCGCTCCCCTCACCTCCCGATATGCTTCTCTCCATTACAAGCTACAGGCGGGGAAGGCGGGGAAGGCCTTATCCTCTATAGAAAAAGTAGTGCCTGTAGGGGAAGTACAGCTTCCACATCAACTTTCCACACTCGAGTAGCCTTTGCAATATAGGGCTGGGGGCTGAAGAAAGGCAGAGTCTGAAAAGCAGCCTGACTGCAGCATGTTCCCCACAGAAAGTCCTGGAACATAGTCCTGGACAGTTCCTATTTAAGTTAAAAATACTCTAAACAATAGCCTCTATCCAACATGTGGCAGGAACTAACAGTAATGTGCCAGCTGAGCCAGTTATGCTGCCATTTCATGGGGAAGTCCTATAGATTTTAATATGCAGGAGACAAACAAGGTTCTATAGAAATTTCTGCCAAAACCTAAAAAATGTAGTAGAGCCCAGTATTGCTATGGTTCTCTGACCCGGCCTACAGAACTGAATGGCCAGGATTTCATTCTCTCAGTCACATTATAGACCAGTTCTAGCACCCAGCTCCTGCACCCCTAAGTCCTCCCAGACCTTGCACCTCCATCTCCTGCCCCATGTCAAAACCCAACCCTCAGCACTTCATCCTGTACTCCTGCCCCAGGTAACAACCCCCTTCCCATACCCTGCATCCTCTCCTACACCCCTCCTCCAGGTCAGAATCCTCTCCTGCACTCATGCCTCCCAAACCCTGTATTCCCTCCTGGACCTTGCACCCTCCTCCTGTACCCTAATCCCCTGCCCCAGGCTACAACCCCATCCTTCACCCAAATTCCCCCTCAGACTCCGCACCTGCTCCTGCACCCCAGTCTCCTAACCCGAGCTCCCTTCTGCACTCAACAGCCATCCCAGACCCCACAACCCCTACATTAATAACACGGAAGAGTGCAGCCCTTGACCACTTATCAAATTCTTGGAGTGCCCCTGCATAAAAAATTATTGCCCATCCCTGGCTTAGAGGGACAACACTGTCAGGATGTCAGATGGCTTCTTGAACAGTTGCCTAGCAACCCAAATGAGCTTGGCTGGACCCATTGAACCCTCAGTGACTATGCTCCCTGATTGGACAAAAGAGCTAAAAGATCCCTCTTTAAGCCTGGCAGTAACAGCAACAGTGTGTCAGCTCAATGCATTTCCTCTCTGCTTCCTGTACCCGTCCTTGCTCCAACCCGTACCAGTTCCTGCCCCGCCCTAGTTCCGGCCTTCCTCCTAATTCCTGATTCCTGACTACACCTCTGGTTCTGCCCTTTGATTCTGCTCTGAGCACTAGTCCAGGCTTCTATTCTGAGCTCTAGCTCAGACCACCTACAGCTAGTGTGTTACAAACAACACACATTATATAATCAATCACATAATCTCATGGCTTATCTATAGAATTATGGTTCACCTTTTCCTGTAGTTCCTTGGCCTACTGCTGCCCTCTCCAAAGCTGTACCTAAGTAATTAGGGATGGAAAAGATCTATTAGATCATTTAGTCCATATAATCTTATAATGGTTTCTAATCTATAGATTTACGGTTCACCTTTTTCTGAAGTTCCCTGGCCTACTGCTGCCTCTTCCAAAGCTGTGCCTAAATGATTAGAGATGGAAAAGATCTATTAGATCATCTAGACCAGCTCTCAGCCAATGTAATACTTCCCCTACAGTATATTTTGTAGTACTTTTCCCAATCTAGTTTTAATGAGCTCAAGAAATGCGGCTTCCATGCCCTCCCATCAGGACTGTTTTCCATTATACTCAGTCTTAAGTTTTCCTTCATGCTGTCTCTTCCCATTACTTCTAGTTTTACTGCATGGACACCCTTAAATCATTTGCCACCGCACAAATCATTCTTTTGGTGTTGCTGTAAGTGTCTCAGACTCGCCTATCATGATTTGTGTCATGATATTCCGACTCCCTCATTAATCCCGCACCCTTTACTGCCCCAGACTATAAACTAAACCACATGTAGAGGAGTGTTCCATCCCCTGATGAAACACACTTTTTACTATTCTCTTGAGGTCCCGGCTACTTATGGCTGCTGGCCTTGTGCAATTTCTCATTTAGGCCCTCTCCTCAACGTGCTATGCAATTTAACTAAGTACAACTAATTCTGTGTACCCTCGGAGTACCAGATCAGTGCTAGGTACACTACTTTGTCATGTTGACTCATTTTCTGTCCCACTTGCACATAAGCTGACATCTTTCCCACTATATCTGTCACAGCACAAGTTAACTCATGGGCCAAATTCTCATCTCAGTTACTGTGATGCTACTCCATTGAAGTCAATGGAACAAATTCATCACTGGTAGAACTCCACTGTGAATTCTGAGCATGAATGTGGCCTGTAGATGTCAGCAGGGTTCCATTATTTTACAAGAGAATTTAGCTCTATAGACTTATCTATCTTCACTAGGTGGCAGTCCATCACTCATCAAGACTGTTCCTACAGTTTGCATGATGTACATAACTCTTTCTCAGCCATATAAGAATATTCAGGTTGTTTTGCTTCCCTTTCTTTTAAAAGCAGATTGGAACAAAGGACATGCCTTATAAGAATAAAGAACTAAATAATGGACATTATTTTTCACAACCGCCCTGAAATTAAATTAGAAATATTATGATAATCTCATGACAGCATTTTGAGTGAGAATTAGTGCCCCAGTTGAACAAAAATAGGAAACAAGTGAGCTTTTGCTAATTCTAGAAGCCAAACTAGGGAAAAAAATTGCTTGTTTAACTTTCCCACTATCATTTCCCATTTTCACACGCATTTGCAATTCCATCTGAAAGAAATTAAGGAATACTGCCAATCAAATTTCTGACAAATTATTGTTGAATTTCTTGTCCAAAAAAAATTTGCCTGGCATGATTATTATTAGTAACCCTACTTTAATTGCAGGGTGATCTTCGAATAATTGCAGCTGAATTGTGGACATGGCATGGAAAATCATGAAAAGTAATTACTGAAAGTGGCAATTTGGAAAAAACAGAGTATATCTATATGGTTAAAAAAATTGCTAGAACAATATGAACACTCATGAGTTGTTTCTCCCATAGATCACAAATCACCACAGAGCCAAGAACTTGCAGGAGGAAGCAGCTTCCGGAGGATAACAATCATTTAACACCGGCAAAAATGGACAGCAGCCAGCAGCCACCATCCTTTATGAAGCTGTTAGTTTCTTCGTTGAACAAAGAACACAATTCCTAGCTTGAAAGTATTAATGACTGCAAAACTAAACATCCTCTGAACTGATTGATGCAATTATGACAATTAATTTTTAACATTAATTTTTTTTCTTAATGGGACAGTTTCATGGAACAAATGTCTTATTTTCAATGGCAGGCCTGAGATTCAGTAGCCATTCCATCATACTTTAGTAACATACAGACAAATCATACAGAGAACAGTCAATATAGCAGATAGCACTGAGCAGTCAATTTCCATGCTTTTTATGCTGAGAATGCTTCTTAGAATAGAAGATCAAAGGTGATTTATGGAAATGTGGTTTGCAAGTTAAGGAGGAAACAGATTAGAATCATCTGGGCGCCACATTTCAAGAAAGATGTGGAGAAATTGGAAAGGGTACAGAGAAGAGCGACAAGAATGATAAAAGGTTTAGAGAACATGACCTATGAAGCCAGGCTTCATGAACTGGTCTTGTTTAGTTTGGAAAAAAGAAGATTAAGGGGGGACATGATAGCGGTTTTCAAATATCTAAAAGGGTGTCACAAGGAAGAAGGAGAAAATTTGTTCCTCTTGGTTTCTGAGGACAGGACAAGGAGTAATGGGCTTAAAGTGCAGCAGGGGAGGTTTAGATTGGACATTAGGAAAAAATTCCTAACTGTCAGGGTGGTCAAATATTGGAATAAATTGCCAAGGGAGGTGGTGGAATCTCCCTCTCTGGAGATATTTAAGAACAGGTTAGATAGACACCTGTCAGGGATGGTGTAGATGGAGCTTGGTCCTGCCTTGAGGGCGGGGGGCTGGACTCGATGACCTCGAGGTCCCTTCCAGTCCTATTATTCTATGATTCTATGGTTCAGCTACAGAGTGATTGAAACTGCAGGGAGATAAATTTCTCACTGTTCCTGATGCAACAATACAGGTTTCTATATTGTTAATAGTTGGCTTTCCATTTGTAAAAGGATTTACCAAAAGTCACACAGGGATGGATTCCCTGAGGAATCCCAGAGGCATGGTGCTCATATGTGAAATAGGGCCAACAATGGTAATACAGAAGTGTTTCCTCTCAGGTGAAGGAAAACATCTGTGATCTGAGGGAGAGAGCTCTTCGGCTGTTAGATAGCAAGCAGGTTGCCGACATGGTTTGAATCAGATTAATTGGCGTATGGTAGCTAAATTGATAAACTA